CTCAGTTTCCTCATCCATAAAATGGGATGACATAGTACTTACCTCTTAGAGGTGTCATGAGGGTCACTTGAGATCATGAGCATTGGTCAGGCACAGTGACCCATGCCTATAATCGCAACACTTTGGGAGGCCGAGGCAGGAGGATCACTTGAGCCCAGGAGTTTGAGACCAGCCTGGGCAACATAGTGAAACCCTGTCTCTAATTTTATTTTTTTTTAATAGAGACGGGGTTTCATCATGTTGGCCAGGCTGGTCTCGAACTCCTGACCTCAGGTGATCCACCCGCCTCAGCCTCCCAAAGTGCTAGGATTACAGGTGTGAGCCACTGTGCCCGACCCCCTGTCTCTATTTTTAAAAAAAAAATTTTTTAAGAGAAAGATCGTAGGTATAAAGCACATAATACTACCCTGGGCATGTAGTAAGTGCGCGATAAAATGAATTTATTAGCGTCATCATCATTGTCATCAATAAGGAAGAGATCTGGTCCAAGCAAGAAATTATAGCAAAGTGTGACAATATATACTCAAGGTGCTATTAGACTCCAGAGGTATACATACCTCAGAGAAGGGACATTTAAGACTGGGTCTTGGCCGGGCGTGGTGGCTCACACCTGTAATCCAAGCACTTTGGAGGCCAAGGCAGGCGCATCACCTGAGGTTGGGAGTTCAAGACCAGCCTGACCAACATGGTGAAACCCCGTCTTTATAAAAATAAATAAATAAATAAAAAGACTGGGTCTTGAGGAATGCATAGGAGTTCAAAATTAGAAGGAAAGTCCTCAGGATGGTAAGACCAGCCTGAGCAATGACAGAGGGGCTTAGAGAGGAGCCTAGATGTTTGTGAAGGGGAGTGAGGGGGATGCTGTAGCTCCATGTGGCGGGGTGGGCAGGGACAAGGGAGTTCAGAGCCTTAATCACCAAGACAAGGTGATAGACATTTCTCGTGCAAGGGGGAGTGGGGAGCCATTGATGATTCTGGAGCATGGGAGTAGTCTGATCTGAGTGATCTACTCAAAGAGAAGGAAGGAACCCATCCTGGGCTCAAGATGTCCCTTCTGGAAGTAAAGCCATTGCTCTCTTTTCTTCTAGCTGTTATACATTTTAATGGTTATTTTAACAAGTTTCCAGCAGGCGGCATTGGAATGCCTCAAGGAAGAGGCATCTTTTTCTAATTTGCTGGGATTAGGTGTGGCCAGCACTGCAATTCCTAGACCCCACACCATGCTTGCCACCCCATTAAGGGTGCCTCCTTTCCTGGTCTCTCAGTAGGCTCAGCTTGTACTGGGACTCCCATGGATGCCTCTAATGCCCCAAGGGGTAGAAGAGGTGGAAGTGGGCCCTTGCTCCACATTGTCACATAGAGTCCTCTTGATGGCCCCAAATAGGCTTGGTGTATGTGTAATGCTATGTGTCTTATGGCCCCATTTAACAGATGCAAGGACGGAAGCTTGGCAAAGTCATTCCACCTGAGATCACAAGCCCCAAATATCTTCCAAATCATTTTTCCAATATATATTCACACAAAATATCTTTTGAAAAATGAAAAATGGGCCAGACGTGGTGGCTCAACCCTGTAATCCCAGCATTGTAGGGGACTAAGACGGGTGGATCACTTGAGGTCAGGAATTCTTTTTTTTTTTTTTTTTTTTTTTTTTTTTTTTTTTTGAGACAGAGTCTTGCTTTGGTGCCAGGCACCAGGCTGGAGTGCAGTGGCGCAATCTCGGCTCACTGCAATTTCCACCTCCTGGGTTCAAGCAATTCTCCTGCCTCAGCCTCCTGAGTAGCTGGGACTACAGGCATGCCCCACCATGCCCAGCTAATTTTTGTATTTTTTAGTAGAGACGGGGTTTCACTATGTTGGCCAGGATGGTCTCGATCTCTTGACCTCGTGATCCGCCCACCTCAGCCTCCCAAAGTGCTGGGATTACCAGCATGAGCCATCGCGCCCGGCTGAGGTCAGGAATTCAAGACCAGCCTGGCCAATATGGTGAAACCCCGTCTCTACTAAAAATACAAAAGCTGAGTGTGGTGGCCCATGCTTGTAATCCCAGCTATTGGGGAGGCCGAGGCAGGAGACTGACTTGAACCCAGGAGGGAAAGGTTGCAGTGAGCCAAGATTGTGCCATTGTACTCCAGCCTGGGTGACAGAGTGAGCGAGACTCCATCTTAAAAAAAAAAAATGAAAAATGAAAAATGTAGTTTAAAAGTCTACCTTTTGTGTGTGTGTGTGTGTGTGTGTGGTTTTTTTTTTTTTTTTTTTTTTTTTTTTGAGATAAGGCCGGGCATGGTGGCTTATGCCTGTAATCCAAGCACTTTGGAGGCCAAGACGGGTGGATCACCTGAGGTCGGGAGTTCAAGACCAGCCCGACCAACATGGTGAAACCCCATCTTAAAAAAAAGAGAGAGAGAGAGAGAGAGAGATGGAGTCTTGCTCTGTTGCCCAGGCTGGAGTATAGTGGTGTGATCTCGGCTCACTGCAACCTCTGTCTCCCGGCTTCAAGCAATTCTCCTGCTCAGCTGGGATTACAGACATGTGCCAGCACGCCCAGCTAAGTTTTGTATGTTTTAGTAGGGACGTGGTTTTACCTTGGCCAGACTGGTCTCTAACTCCCGACCTTAGGTGATCTGCCCGCCTCAAACTCCCAAAGTGCTGAGATTATGGGGTGAGCCACTGTGCCCAGCCTCAGCCTGGCTTTTTAAATGTGGCCTTGCACTGCGTACATTTCACTACAGTTTCTTCCATTGTCTCAGAGCAGCCCGCTGCAGGGAGCCCCATGTTTTGTTAAGCCAGTCTCCTGTGGTTGAACTTGTAGATCACTGCTGATTGCTTTAGTTGTTGCTGTTTATCTGACTTTTCATTTTGAGGTAACGTCTAATTTACGGAAGAATTGAAACAGTAGAGCAAACTCCCTGCACTGTACCCAGATTGAACAGTTACTAATTTTGCCACAATCATGCTCTTTCTCTGCCATTTGAGAAATTTGTTGACATCTTGTCCCTTTTGCCCTAAATGCTTCAGCAAGTGCTTTTCAAGAATGAGAAATCTTACAGTGGTAAAATACTAGTCTGTATCCTACCATCTAGATTCAGTCTTCAGTTGTCCCAGTAATATCCTTTATATGTTATATAAATTTTTAGATAAAATATATAATTCTTGGCCAGGTGCTGTGTGTGGCTCTCACCTGCAATTCCAGCACTTTGGGAGGCCAAGGCGGGCAGATCACAACATGAGGAGTTTGAGACCAGCCTGACCAACATGGTGAAACCACGTCTCTACTAAAAATACTAAGATTAGCTGGGCGTGGTGGCAGGTGCCTGTAGTTCCAGCTACTTGGGAAGCTGAGGCAGGAGAATCGCTTGAACCCGGGAGGCAGACGTTGCAGTGAACCAAGATTACACCATTGCACTCCAGCCTGAGTGACGGAGCAAGACTCTGTCTCAAAAAATATGTATGTATAAAAATTAGCCAGGTGATCACCTAAGCGGGAGCTGCCGAAATGAAGTTCAATCCCTTTGTGACTTCGACCGAAGCAAGAATCGCAAAAGGCATTTCAATGCACCTTCCCACATTCGCAGGAAGATTATGTCCTCCCCTCTTTCCAAAGAGTTGAGACAGAAGTACAACGTGCGATCCATGCCCATCCGAAAGGATGAGGAAGTTCAGGTTGTACGAGGACACTATAAAGGTCAGCAGATTGGCAAAGTAGTCCAGGTTTACAGGAAGAAATATGTAATCTACATTGAACGGGTGCAGCGGGAAAAGGCTAATAGCACAACTGTCCATGTAGGCATTCACCCCAGCAAGGTGGTTATCACTAGGCTAAAACTGGACAAAGACCGCAAACAGATCCTTGAACGGAAAGCCAAAACTCGCCAAGTAGGAAAGGAAAAGGGCAAATACAAGGAAGAAACAATTGAGAAGATGCAGGAATAAAGTAATCTTATATACAAGCTTTGATTAAAACTTGAAAAAAAAAAAAAAAATTAGCCAGGTATGGTGACATGCACCTGTAATCCCAGCTACTTGGGAGGCTCAGACACAAGAATCTCTTGAACCCAAGGGCTGGAGGTTGCAGTGAGCCGAGATCACACCACTGCACTCCAGCCTACATGACAGAGCGAGACTCTGTCTCAATAAAAGAAAAAGAGCCAGGCATGGTGACACACACCTGTAGTCCCAGCTACTTGAGAGACTGCGGTGGGAGGATCACTTGAGCCTAGGAGGTTGAGGTTGAGTGTCTGATCAAGCCACTGCACTCCAGCCTGGGCGACCCGGTCTCAAAACAAATTAATTCATTAATTAAAATATGTAAATGTATTTTCCCTGTCCAGGATGAGATTCAGGCTCGCTTGTGTTTAGTTTTCATGTTTTGATTTGGACCGTTGCCCTTTCTGAAGAGTAGAGGCTGTTATCTCATAGATGGTCTGAGTTTGGGTCGCCCAGTGCTCCCTCGTAATCAAATTCAGGATGTGTACTTGGGGCTGGGGCTATCACAGAATTGATGTCTTTCTCAGAGCATCCTCTCAGGAGACCCACGTTGCTGACTTCTCCTTTGATTGGTGATAGTAACTTGGATCATTGGTTAAAATGGTGTCCATCAGCACCTATAATCCCAACTACTCAGGAGGCTGAGGCAGGAGAATTGCTTGAACCCGGGAGGCAGAGGTTGCAGTGGGCTGAGATTGCATCACTGTGCTCCACCCTGGGTGACAGAGAGAGAGTCCAACCAGGTCTCTCTACTGTAAAGTGGCTATTTTTCCCTTTGCAATTACTAAGCATCCTGTGGGGAGATACTTGGAGACTTTGTAAATATCCTAGTCCTCATCAAACTTTCATTCACTGGTTTTAGCATCCAGGAGGTCCCTACCTGAGCAATTATTACTACAGTGGTTGCAAAATGAGTGGTTGGCAACTCTTGGCTGTAAGAAGCAAGGCTGCTGAAACTGGATGTGTCTGTGCCAGATTGTGGTAACCGCTTTCTCTTTCTCTGTGGTTCACAGCCAGTCCCACAGAACCAAGGTCCTCACCATCCCCACCCCCCAGCCCTACAGAACCTGAGAAGAGCTCCCAGGAGCCGCTGAGCCTGTCCCTGGAGAGCAGCAAGGAGAACCAGCAGCCAGAGGGCCGCTCCAGCTCCTCGCTCAGCGGGAAGATGTACTCAGGCGGCCAGGCCCCAGGAGGCATCCAGGAGATCGTGGCCATGTCCCCCGAGCTGGACACCTACTCCATCACCAAGAGGGTGAAGGAGGTCCTCACAGACAACAATCTAGGTACAGAGCCGGTGGGAATCAGAGAGGCTGCCTCCCACCTGGGTCACCTCCTACTTACCTTGAAAAAATGTCTGGAGCTGGGACCCAGTGACTCATACTTGTAATTCTAGTACTTTGGGAGGCCAGAAAGGGAGGACCGCTTGAGAGCAGGAGTTTGAGGCCAGCCTGGGCAACATAGCAAGATCCCATCTCTAAAAAAGCTTTTTAAAATTAGCTGCAAACTCCATGCATACAAACTTCACATGTGTTGGTACACACCTGTGGTCCTAGTAACTCAGGAGCCTGAGGCAGGAGGATGGCGTAAGCCCAGGAGTTCAAGGCTGCAGTGAGCTGTGATCATGCCACTGCACTCCAGCCTGGACAACAGAGCAAGACCTTGTCTCTAAAAAAAAAAAAAAAAAAAAAAAAACAATTGGCCAGCCATGGTGGCTCACACCGGTAGCCCCAGCACTTTGGGAGGCCTAGGCGGGCGGATCACCTGAGGTCAGGAGTTTGAGACCAGCCTGGCCAACAGGGTGAAACCCTGTACTAAAAATACAAAAAATTAACAGGGCACAGTGGGGCACGCCTGTAGTCCCAGCTACTTGGGAGGCTGAGGGGGGTGAATCGCTTGAACCTGGGAGGTGGAGGTGTTAGTGAGCTGAGATCACACCACTGCACTCCAGCCTGGGCAGCAGAGCAAGACCCAATCTCAAAAAAAATCAATCAGTCAATAAAATTTAAAATAGGCCAGGCACAGTGGCTCACCCCTGTAATCCTAACACTTTGGGAGGCCAAGGCAAGCAGATCACCTGAGGTCAGGAGTTCAAGACCAGCCTGGCCAACGTGGTGAAACTAAAAATACCAAAATTAGCCAGTGCATGGTGTCACACACTTGTAATCCCAGCTACTCGGGAGGCTAAGGCAGGAGTATTGTTTGAACCCAAGAGGTAGAGAATACAGTGAGCCAAGATCGCACCACTGCATTCCAGCCTGGGCAACAGAGTGAGACTCTGTCTCCAAAAAAATAAAAAATAAAATAAAACTTAAAAAGCTCCTAAAATTAGCTGCAAACTCTATGCATACCAACTTCACACATGGTGGTAAATGCCTGTAGTCCTCAGGAAGCTGAGGCAGGAGGATCACATGAGCCCAGGAGTTCAAGGCTGCAGTGAGCTGTGATCCTGCCACTGCACTCCAGCCTGGCAACAGAGTGAGACCTTGTCTCTAAAAAGTTAATTTAAAAAAAAAAAAAAAAGACAAAAGTGCCCACGGTGAGATCCCAGGGCATCCAGGACCCTGTGTGAGGCATCTGCTCTGACCTGGGTCTGGGATGGGACAAAGGGAGGTAAATGCAGGTATGAGAGGACCTGGAATTCTCAGCCAATGGCTTTAAAAACTTCCTTCCAGGAAGACGTGAACTCCAATCCCTGCAGAACTGCAGCTGAGTCCTCCCAGTGCCGAGGTCCTTGCCCTCTTGAGGCACAGGGAGAAATATCTTCTAGGACTCCTTCCCTTTTTGGGACACAAAATCCTCTGAGTCTTAGATCCAGGTGATGCCCCCCTCCCAGAGGGATGTACGCAAACCTCAAAATTTTCACTACAAATTTTATGATAAAAGACATATTCATTGTTTTAAAATATACCGGGCCAGGCATGGTGGCTCACACCTGTAATCCCAGCACTTTAGGAGGCCGAGGCGGGCAACTTACGAGGTCAGGAGCTTGAGACCAGCCTGGCCAACATGGTGAAACCCCATCTCTACTAAAAATACAAAAAATTAGCTGGGCATAGTGGTAAGCACCTGTAATCCCAGCTACTCAGGAGGCTGAGTCAGGAGAATGGCTTGAACCTGGGAGGCAGAGGTTGCAGTGACCTGAGATTGCACCACTGTACTCCAACCTGGGCAACACAGTGAGACTCCTTCTCAAAAAAAAAAATACACACACACACACACACACACACCCCAAACAGTGCAGGGAAAAAATAAGAAGTTACTAAAAAAATAATAAATTCCTCCCCACTGGCCTGTCAGTCACACGCCAGAGTTGTTTTTATGTTTTTGTTTGTTTGTTTGTTTGTTTTTGAGACGGAGTGTCGCTCTTGTTACCCAGGCTGGAGTGCAATGGTGCGATCTCGGCTCACTGCAACCTCCGCCTCCTGGGTTCAGGCAATTCTCCTGCCTCAGCCTCCTGAGTAGCTGGGATTACAGGCACACGCCACCATGCCCAGCTAATTTTTTGTATTTTTAGTAGAGATGGGGTTTCACCATGTTGACCAGGATGGTCTCGATCTCTTGACCTCGTGATCCACCCGCCTCGGCCTCCCAAAGTGCTGGGATTACAGGCTTGAGCCACTGCGCCCGGCCCCATGTGTATATTTTAAAGATGGAGTCTCACTCTGTCTCCCAGGCCCCAGGCTGGAGTGCAGTGGCAAGAACTCGGCTCACTGCAACCACCGCTCCCAGATTCAAGTGATTCTCCTATCTCAGCCACCCTAATAGCTAGCATTATAGTTGTGTGCCACCATTCTTGGATAATTTTTGTATTTTTAGTAGAGACAGGGTTTCACCATGCTAGCCAGGCTGGTCTTGAGCTCTTGACCTCAAGTGATCCTCCTGCCTCAGCCTCCCAAAGTGCAAGGATCACAGGTGTGATCACTTAATTTCCTCTCCTTTTTTTTTTTCCACATAGATGAAATGATACGCATATTGTCTTGCAACTTGCTTTTGAAAAATGAACACTGGGCTGGGTGAGGTAGCTAACACCTATAATCCCAGCACTTAGGGAGGCTGAGCTGGGAGGATTGCTGAAGGTCATGAGTTCCAGACTGGCCTGAACAACATGGCGAAATCTCATCTCTGCAAAAAATACAAAAATTAGCTGGACATGGTGTGCATGCCTATAGTCCCAGCCACTCAGGGGATAAGGCAGGAGGATGGCCTGAGCCCAGGAGACAGAGGTTTCGAGGAGCCAAGATGACACCACTTCAGTCCAGCTTGGGCAACAGAGCCAAACCTTGTACCCCAAAAATAAAATATAAAAATGCAAAACTTAGCTGGGTGTGGTGGCTCAGTCCTGTGCACCCAGCTACTTGGGAGGCTGAGATGGGAAGATCACCTGAACCCAGGAGGCAGAGGTTATAGTGAGCTGAGATCACACCACTGCACTCCAGCCTGGGTGATAGAGTGAGAACCTGTGTCAAAAAAAGAAAAGAAAAATGAACACTATTTTGTGGACACCCTTCCACGTTAGAATAATTCTGTTACCCGCATTCTTTTTCACCATTACAAAGTGTTTCAGGCCATGGATACACCACATTTTTTACCCAATTGATGGTTATTTTGGCTTTTTCCACTTTCCTGCTGCCTCTAAAAATCAGGCTGTGTGCATCTGTGTGACCCTGGACAACTGCAGCTATCCCAGGCAGTGGAACTGCTGGCTCCGAAGCTGTGCACATTTAAAACTGGAATGGAATCTGACAAATCATCCTCCAGCACAGTGATACAAATTTGTATGCATGATGCTGGCAGACAATTTCAGGGATCTCCTAGGGGTAAAGAACCTCTTAAGTTAAAGCACTTTTGGGCCGGGCACGTGGCTCACGCCTGTAATCACAGCACTTTGGGAGGCCAAGGTAGGTGGATCATCTGAGGTCAGGAGTTCAATACCAGCCTGGCCAACATGGGAAAACCCCATCTCTACTAAAAATACAAAAATTAGCCAGGCATGGTGGCATGCACCTGTAATCCCAGCTACTCAGGAGGCTGAAGCAGGAGAATTGCTTGAACCTGGGAGGCGGAAGCTGCAGTGAGCCAAGATCATGCTGCTACGCTCCAGCCTGGGTGACAGAGTAAGACTCTGTCTGAAAAAAAAAAGCACTTTTGTTAGTTGTTAGTTGCTGCCTCATCCTGCCCCACAAATGTCTTTTACAGACAGACCCCCTTCAGCTTCCTATCCCGTGCGGGTCTTCCACTGTCTCTCGCTCTCCCTTCTGAGTTAGTGAAGGTAGCCTTGAGGTTCTTTCCTGTGTCTCTGGCCTGTTCCTTGTCTCTCCTGGGAACAGGCTTCTCTGCCCAGCCTGGGGTAACAGGTTGCCCCCTCTCCTATCCCCAGGGCAGCGGCTGTTTGGGGAAAGCATCCTGGGTCTGACACAAGGCTCCGTGTCTGACCTGCTGTCCCGGCCCAAACCCTGGCACAAGCTGAGCCTGAAGGGGCGGGAGCCCTTTGTCCGAATGCAGCTGTGGCTCAATGACCCCCATAACGTGGAGAAGCTGAGGGACATGAAGAAGCTGGAGAAGAAAGGTAAGACTTGGGCAGGGGATGGACCCCAGCACTGGGTCTCAGATTTTACATAGAACCATATCTAGTTGTAACCCAGATAAATCCAGGGCCCCCATGGTCCAGTTTCAGCCTGGTAGGGGATTACATGAAATAGCAACATTGAAAAACAATGTAACAATGTCACTGAAAGCAGTGAAAATATATATAGCCAGTCGCAGTGTGCCGGGGCAGGGAGTCCCGGCTGCTTGGGAGGCTAAGGCAGGAGGATGGTTCAAGGCTGCAGCGTGCTATGGTCAAAGCTGTGAATAGCCACTGTGCTCCAGCTTGAGCACTGCAGTAAGACCCCATCTCCAAGTTTGTTAAATTTGTAAATGTTTCCTCTCCCATGAAAATCCAATACTCTGCCAGGTGTGGTGGCTCATGCTTGTAATCTCAGCACTTTGGGAGGCCAAGGCGGGCAGATCACCTGAGGTGGGGAGTTTGAGACCAGCCTGGCCAATATGGTGAAACCCTGTCTCTACTAAAAATATAAAAATTAGCCAGGCATGGTGGCACACGCCTGTAACCCCAGCTACTCAGGAAGCTGAGGCAGGAGAATTGCTTGAACCCAGGAGGTGGAGGTTGCAGTGAGCCAAGATCGTGCCATTGCACTCCAGCCTGGGCGACAAAGCAAGACTCTGTCTCAAAAAAAAAAATTAGAAAAAGAAAAGGAAATCTAATACCCCATCTCTCTTGGTGTCCTTTACACCTCCATAGCTACCCCAGAGTCTGTGGCCAGCCCCCACTGTCTATTTCCCAAAACTCGGTACCTCCCTTCTCTGCCTCAGCTCCCTATTTTGCAGATCAGCATTTGGCCCATTACCCAGATTCTACACAACAAAGGACAGGACCAGCAAACAGGAACCCTCTCTTGCAGGGTTGGGCAAGGAGATTGCAAGTTCTCACATTGTCTGACATTATATCCTGATAAGATAAGCGGCCAAACCCTCTGACCTCAGGGTCAGGCCTGGCTAGTATTTGGATGGAAGATAAGCTTCCACTGAGCCCAGTCTCATGCTGTTCATAAAGGATTCCTCTATATTTCCAAGGGCTCCAAGTCCATCGGAAGATAAGATAGGAGCAGTTGAAGTTGCCATCCAGGGCATGAGGGCCGGTCATGCGATGACCCAGGGACACCCAGGCTGTAGGGAGCACCTAGGGCAGGGCTAGGACTGGGCCATGATCATCAGATAATGCTACAGTTGAGAACTTGACCCTCTACCTACTTGCTGTGTGATCTCCAGCTAGTTACTTCCCCTCTCTGTGCTTCCTTCTGAAAATAAGAGAGCCGGCTGGGTGCAGTGGCTCACACCTGTAATCCCAGCACTTTGGGAAGCTGAGGCTGACGGATCACTTGAGGCCAGGACTTTGAGAGCAGCCTGGTCAACATGGTGAAACCCCATCTGTACTAAAAATACAAAAATTAGCTGGGCATGGTGATACATGCCTATAATCCCAGCTACCTGGGAGGCTAAAGCAGGAGAATCGCTTGAACCCGGGAGGCAGAGGTTGCAGTGAGCCGAGAGGATGGCGCCACTGCGCTCCACCTCGGTAACAGAGCGAGACTCTGCTTAAAAAAAAAAAGAGCATGTTCAGAGCCACAAAGCATTGCTGTGAGGATTAAGTTAGACCCTCATACCTTACTTTCATTCTGAAGTGGGCTTTTTTCTCCCCAACATCTTCATGATTTGGGGTCAAGATGCACCATGCAGTCAATGGGTCATTTAAATTAGTGTCCCCACCACCGCCCACCAAAGGCTGTTCAGAAATTCAGGGACAGGATGTTGGAAGGCCAAGGTGGGAAGATCACTTGAGGCCAAGAATTCAAGACCAGCCTGGGCAACAGAATGAGACCCTCCCTCGACAAAACAATTTTTTAAATGAGGCAGGCATGGTGGTGCGCATCTGTAGTCCCACCTACTCAGGAGGCTGAGGCAGGAGGATCACTTGAGCCCAGGAGTTCAAGGTTGCAGTGACTTGTGATTGCGCCACTGCACTCCAGCCTAGGTGACAGAGAAACCCCATCTCTACCAAAGATTTAAAAATTAGCCAGGGATGATGGTTCATACCTATAATCCTAGCTGCTGGGGAGGCTGAAACAGGAGGATTGCCTGAGCCTGGTTGGTCGAGGCTGCAGTGAGCTGACTGTGCCCCCTGTACTCAAGCCTGGGTGACAGAGCGAGACCTTGTCTCTAAAAACCAGAGAGAATACCATAGAGCACACTGTGTCAAATGCTTCCTATGTGTGAGGAACGCTCCTAGGTCTTCACTCATGCTGGCGAGGGCAGGCCAGCATATTGTGGCCTGGGGGTGGGTATTGGGAGATGCAGAAGGAGAGTGAGGAGGGAGAAAGGCTGGGGGGCAGGCCCCTAAGTTTAGGGCATGACAGGCTCCAAGTGGGGCTGACTGATGTATTCCCACCACGCGACTCCTGCTAGCTGTGAACTGATGGGGTAGGGACACCACCTCTCAGCCTTCCGTCTCTCCCTGGCCCTAGCCTACCTGAAACGCCGCTATGGCCTCATCAGCACCGGCTCGGACAGCGAGTCCCCAGCCACCCGCTCCGAGTGCCCCAGCCCCTGCCTGCAGCCCCAGGACCTGAGCCTCCTGCAGATCAAGAAGCCCCGGGTGGTGCTGGCACCCGAGGAGAAGGAGGCGCTGCGGAAGGCCTATCAGCTGGAACCCTACCCCTCGCAGCAGACCATCGAGCTCCTCTCCTTCCAGCTCAACCTCAAGACCAATACCGTCATCAACTGGTTCCACAACTACAGGTGGGACTATGGGAGCGTGCCCTTGGGGCGGGCAGCAGAGCCCGGTGGAACCTCTTCCCCATCCCAGGGCCTGGAGGGAGCCCCACATGGCCTCTGGGAGATGGGAGACCCCATCACATCGGCACTTAGGTACAGGTCACAGGGCCGGGTGCAGTGGTTCATGCCTGTAATCCCAGCACTTTGGGAGGCCAAGGCGGGAGGATTGCTTGAGCCCAGGAGTTCAAGACCAACCCCGACAACATAGGGAGACCTCGGCTCTACAAAAATATACAAAAATTAGTTGGGTATGGTGGCATATACCTGTAGTCCCAACTACTAAGGAGGCTGAAGTAAGAGGGTCACTTAGGCCCAGGAGGCAGAGGCTGCAGTTAATTACCATCACACCACTACGCTCCAGCTTGGGTGACAGAGCAAGATCCTGTCTCAAAAAACAACAAAAAAAAAAGGAGGCCAACGTGGGCAGATTACCTGAGGTCAGGAGTTTGAGACCAGCCTGGCCAACATGGTGAAATTCTGTCTCTATTAAAAATACAAAAAATAGCCGGGCGCGGTGGCTCAAGCCTGTAATCCCAGCACTTTGGGAGGCTGAGGTGGGTGGATCACCAGGTCAAGAGATCGAGACCACCCTGGCCAACATGGTGAAACCCCGTCTCTACTAAAAATACAAAACTTAGCTGGGTGTGGTGGCGTGCGCCTGTAGTCCCAGCTACTTGGGAGGCTGAGGCAGGAGAATTGCCTGAACCCGGGAGGTGGAGGTTGCAATGAGCCGAGATTGTGCCACTGCACTGCAGCCTGGCGCCTGGCAACAGAGCAAGACTCTGTCTCAAAAAAAAATACAAAAAATAGCCAGGCGTGGTGGTGCACACCTGTAATTCCAGCTACCTGGGAGGCTGAGGTAGGAAAATCACTCGAACCCAGGAGGCGGAGGTTGCAGTAAGCCAAGATTATGCCACTGCACTCCAGCCTGGGTGAGAGTGGGCCTCCATCTCAAAAAAAAAAAAAAAAAATTTAAAACACAGGCAAACATGGAAGAAATCCCAGCTCTGTCACTTTCAGATGTGGCACCATCTTCACATCCCTGCGCCTCAGTCTTCTAACCTGTAAAATGGGGAGGACAATAGCAGGATCTACTTCATAGAATTGCACAGAGGATTTGATAGACTAACATAGTTACATAAAATACCTAGCATGTAGGCTGGGCCTGGTGGCTCCCACCTGTAATCCCAGCAATTTGGGAGGCTGAGGTGGGTGGATCACCTGAAGTCAGGAGTTTGAGATCAGCCTGGGAAACATGATGAAACCCCATCTCTACTAAAAATACAAAAATTAGCCAGGCATGGTAGTATATGCCTGTAGTCCCAACTACTTAGGGGGCTGAGGCGGGAGAATCACTTGAACCTGGGAGGCGGCGGTTGCAGTGAGCTGAGATTGCGCCAGTGTACTCCAGCCTGGGCAACAGAGTGAGGCTGTCTTAAAAAAAAAAAAAAAAATACCCAGCACATAGTATGTGGTACCTATTGATGTGATTGTTATCATTATTTTTTTTTTTATTACTTCACCCTGTTGGCCTTGCATCTGACTCAAAGAAGGGACAGGGAAGGGTATTTGGGGGTACAGACCTGAGGAACCCTGACAATTAAGCCTCAGGCTAGATTCCTGATTTGGGGCTCCCGGCCCCTCCCACCCCTGAAACCAAAAAAAAAAAACCCTGCTATCCTCTTCAGGCTCCACCACCTCAGGGAGTGGGTGATTCCTACTTCAATGGCTGCTTCTTTCCATAGCTCTTCCCACTCTTCACTCCCTGGACTTATAAGTCATTAGCCTGCAGAGGTTAATGAGGTTGAACTTCCTAGGAGTTTAGTCTCAGGGTTAGCTCTGAAGGGACCCCTGTAAAAAATCCCCCATTTGACAGGGGGATTTCAGGGACCATCTCTGAGAAACACCCTACCCCTGCCCCTGCCAAGCTTCCTAAATAGGAAAAGTCTCTGGTGCCCACGTGGTACCAGAAAAGAAAATCCACTCATCCATTCCAGGGGGAGAGAATGTTTCGATCCCCAAGGGAGAGCTAGGAAAGAGGAGACTGGTGGGAGGAGCAACGCAGCATCTTCTCTCTCCCAGGCACCAGGGTCCCATAGACCTGATTTCAAGCCCCACCTCTGCTGTACGGCCTTGGGCAAGTCATTTTACTTCTCCAAGTCTCACCCTTATTTTATAGATGAGGAACCTAATACCTATCCCCCAATGCATGATTATGGGTCGAATAATAATAATAATCATTATGGGTCAAATGAAATGCATATAAATGCATTATAAAATATGGTTTTGGCCAGGTGCAGTGGCTCACACTTATAATCACAGTACTTTGGGAGGCTGAGGCAGGCAGATCACCTGATGTCAGGAGCTCCAGACAAGCGTGGCCAAAATGATAAAACCCTGTCTCTACTGAAAATACAGAAGTTAGCCAGGTGTGGTGGCAGGCACCTGTAATTCCAGCACTCAGGAGGCTTAGGCAGGAGAATCACTTGAATCCAGAATGTGGAGGTTGCAGTGAGCCAAGATCATGCCACTGCCTAGGTGACAGAATGAGACTCTGTCTCAAAAAAAACAAATAAGTAAAATAAAATAAAATATGGTTTATCATCCAGCTCAGACCAGAGCTTCCCAAATAGCAAATGACATAGGTCCTTAAAGCCTTCTCATTTCCTTCCATCCCTGCAGGATATGGGGACATCTTCTCCTCTCTGATTCCCCACAGGAACTGAGCACCCCATTATTATCCAACATATTCATTAAATAAACGTTTCTAATGTATGCGCAGTGAACTAATCCCTGCCCTTAAGGACCTTACAGTCATAAAACAGAACATTTCACTGTAATCTAGTAAGTGCTGTGAAACAGGAAGGAATAAGGGGCCAAGGGAAAAGGGAATTTTGCCTGGGGAGGACTTTACAGAAGTGCTATTTGACATGGGTTTTGAGGGATGAATAGGAGTTTGCACAAAGGAGAAGAGAGAATTCTACTCTCAAAATAATAAATTATAACTCAGGGCTATAGTAGAGATGGGCTTTTGCCATGTTGGCCAGAGTAGTCTAGAACTCCTGACCTCAAGCGATCCGCCTCCCTTGGCCTCCCAAAGTGTTGGTATTATAGGCATGAGCCACCACACCCAGCTGGGTTTTGCCATTTTTTTAAAAAAATGTTTCTTGATTCATTTTAAAGGATTTGCCATTTAAAAAATTTTTTGTACTCTACTAAAAGTACAAGACTAGCCGGGCATGATGGTGTGTGCCTGTAATCCCAGCTACTTAGGAAACTGAGGCAAGAGAATCGCTTGAACCCGGGAGGCAGAGGTTGATGTGAGCCAAGATTGCACCACTGTACTCCAGCCTGGGCGACAGAGAAATATTTCATCTCCAAAAAAAAAAATGGTTTTGCCATTTTAAAAAGTCACACACAAAAAAAGAAAAAAAATAGCAGAAAATGCAATTACTATTACTTTTGCATCAACCTAATAGAAAATGAAATAAACAGGCCAGGCGCCATGGTTCCCACCTGTAATCCCAGCGCTGTGGGAGGCCGAGGCTGGTGGATCACTTGCGGTCAGGAGTTGAAGACCAGCCTGACCAACATGGTGAATACCCAACTCTACTAAAAATACAAAAATAAGCCAGACATGGTGGTGCAGGCCTGTAATCCCAGCTGCTCGGGAGTCTGAGGCAGTAGAATCACTTGAACTCAGGAGGCAGAGGTTGCAGTAGGCCGAGGTTGCGCCACTGTACTCCAGCCTGGGCAACAGAGCAAGACTCTGTCTCAAAAAAAAAAAAAAAGAAAGAAAACAGCAAAAAGTGCCTAGCCTAGTGCCCAACACATGATAAGCACCCATTATTATGTTTGTAACTCTAATTTAGAGCTGCTAATAGTTATGTTAGTGTAATTTATTGTTAACATAAACAGCCAGGGAGCCACAGCACTGAATGTGCTAACAAAACCCCTGTTGCTCTATGACCTTGGACAAGTTATTTAAAATTTCTTGACCTCATTTGCTATAAGAAAATAATTGGGGTCGGCTGGGCATGGTGGCTCATGCCTGTAATACCAGCACTTTGGGAAGCTCAGGTGGGCGGATCACAGAGGTCAGGAGACCAGCCTGGCCAACATGGTAAAATCCCATCAATAGATAGACAGATAGATAGGCAGATATAAGGTAAGATAAGATAGATAGAAAGAAAGAAAATAATTGGGGTTGGGCCCAGTGGCTCAAGCCTGTAATCCCAGCACTTTGGGAGGTCGAGTTGGGTAGGTCATCTGAAGTCAGGAATTTGAGACCAGCCTGGCCAACAGCAAAACCGTGTCTCTAAATAAAAATACAAAAATTAGCCAGTCACTGTGGTGCGTGCCTGTAATCCCAGCTATGCAGGAAGCTGAGGCAGGAGAATTGCTGAACCCAGGAGGCAGAGTTTTCGATGAGCCAAGATCTCACTACTGCACTCCAGCTTGAGTGACAGAGTGAGACTGTCTCAAAAAACAAACAAGATAAAATCATAATCATTTATTCAATTTAGCCCAATGTAAACATTATTAATGAGATCTTTCACTTTGTTTTGTATTAAGGCTGAAAACCAGTGTATATCGTACCCTTACAGCACATGTCAGTCTGGGCTAGTCTCATGTCAAGTACTCGAGAGCTCTGTATGGCCAATGACTGCAGTGTTGCCCAGCAAAGGTTTAGGTCATGAGCTTTGGGATTCAGCAGTCATGAGTTCAAGTCCCAGCTCTGCCACTTACTAGTGACCTGGGGCAAGTCACTTAACATCTCTGAGCCTTGTTTCCTGTGAAGTGGGGATAATAATAGCACCCACCTTGTGGTGCTGTTGAGAAGAGTAGTAAGATGGTGCATGTATGGAAGCTTAGTGCTTAGAGAGCCCCAGGGCACTGGGTGGGGTCAAAATGCCATGTATGCAGATGAAGTCCAGGGTTTGGGGGTCCCCTGTCCAGTTCCAGGCTCACCACCATCTCTGCCCCAGGTCCCGGATGCGCCGGGAGATGTTGGTGGAGGGGACCCAGGATGAGCCAGACCTTGACCCAAGTGGGGGTCCTGGAATCCTACCACCAGGCCACTCCCACCCGGACCCCACCCCACAGAGCCCTGACTCTGAGACTGAGGATCAGAAGCCGACCGTGAAGGAACTGGAGCTTCAGGAGGGCCCTGAGGAGAACAGCACAACCCTAACCACCCAGGACAAGGCCCAAGTGAGGATCAAGCAGGAACAGACAGAGGACACCGAGGAAGAGGCAGGAAGCCAGCCCCAAGACTTAGGGGAGCCAGACAAAGGTCAAGGTCCGCCCAAAGAGGAGCATCCTGACCCTCTGGGTAATGACAGACTACAAAAAGTGGCTCCTGGGCCCCTCCTTCCAGGTGGACCCATCCCAGACTCTCCCTCACTTCATCCCCCACAGGAGAGTGAGGCCGGGGAGCGGCTTCACCCAGACCCTCTAAGTTTTAAATCAGCCTCGGAGTCCTCACGCTGCAGCCTGGAGGTGTCACTGAACTCACCCTCAGCCGCCTCCTCGCCAGGCCTCATGATGTCTGTGTCACCTGTCCCCTCCTCCTCAGCTCCCATCTCCCCATCCCCACCTGGCGCACCCCCTGCCAAAGTGCCGAGTGCCAGCCCCACTGCCGACATGGCTGGAGCCTTGCACCCCAATGCCAAGGTGAACCCCAACTTGCAGCGGCGGCACGAGAAGATGGCCAACCTGAACAGCATCATTTACCGACTAGAACGGGCTGCCAATCGGGAGGAGGCCCTGGAGTGGGAGTTCTGAAGGCAGGGTGAGGGGCAAGGGACATACCCTAGTAACTACCTTCCTTCTCTCACTCTCCTCAACAGGGTGGGGTAGGGGATGGAGGAACTTAACCATCAAAATGTGGACAGCAATGTTATGCCGTTTACGTTTTTTGTTGTAATCCTAGTTCTATGAAGTTGTGTGAGCAGGTGGGTCAAATGCCATTGCCTCCACTTGGGCACCCCTGCCCCTCTTCTCTGCCCTGACCCCTCTGCAGGAGGCAGAAGCAAAATGGCACCACATATTCACCTGAAAACTCCAAACTCTTTTAGAAAAATAAATATTTATAGACCTCTTTTAGATATTTTAATAAAGGATCCTTTGGAATTTATCCCAGCTGATGCTGTTTTGATATTACAGAGAGTTATAAAATCAGGATGCTGTCACAACTGTTGCGAAGTATACACTGAAGTTGTGTCGTTTTTGCCACTAGATGAGATTAAAAGAAGACAATTGTTCAAAGCCATCACAAAACACTATAAGACTGACCAAAATTTATATAACCTTTGAACCACGGTTTTTCCCACATCTGTCTGTGAGACACAGCACATTGCTACTGCCCTTCCAGAAACTGTGCTAAAAAGAGAAAGTCCAAAAGACTCTAAACGAAAAGCTCGATGCCGTTGAGGATGTGTTTCATTCTGGTGGTCTGTTTTGCAACCTTGATAACACAGAATGCCCCGTGCCATTGTAAATGTTGTAGAGCTGTGGGCTGTAGCCCAACCGTCCTATACGAGATGTAGCATGTTACAAAACAAACTGCTCACACAGGTCTCACTAGTTAGACACCTGTGATGCCATGGAGGTCAGACATCCAACTTGTCCGTCTATAGGCAAGAAGCGTTTCCAGATCCTTTGGAAAGGTGGGCATGGGGTGGGTGCCAGAAGAGTGGCGTTTGAGCCAGAGCAACCCCATTTCCCCATGTGAACCATGGGCACAACCCAGAAGTTTCCCCACTTGTAGGAGTGTGGGTATTCCAGAGCAAGACTGTGGCCACCATCTTCCCCTCTTGGTGTTTTCCAAAAGTGACTGTGTTGGTCATCCCATGACCACTGAAGCTTAGTAACCAGCGCCAAAAAGTAGATTCATCAAACGAGAGACCCCAGCTCCCCTTCTCACCATCTTCTTTCTCAAGTTGACCCTGGTGCTGTTTCTGGAAGGTATCTGCAACTCCAAGTCCATGCAGAACTCTGGAAGGCCAAGTTCATCGCAGCATGTTCACCATATCCCAGCCTCCAAATCTACCCTCCTACCGTCCAACGCATGACCTGTTGGGGAGCAGAGACTCAACCTCCGACTCAGAGGAGCCCTTCTTCCAGCATCTTTGGCATGGTTTCTAGGGTGAGAGTTCCCAATTTGGATGGAACAGCCACCATATTGGTTATTGAATCTCTCTCCCTTTTTCAAACTGCCTGTGGGAAGGCTGAATTGGGTGACTCCCCAGAATGCAGATGAAAAGACCGTAATCAGTGCTGATGTAATGCCAGCGAGAGAGATGGCCGATGGAGGTTTCAAAGATGCAGCTAACAATTCGAAACCATATGGGCAAAACTCGGCAACTGGAAGGTACAGATTAAGGACCATTCCAGAAATCCCAACTCTCACACCCAGCCCAGGCTGCAGTCTCCACCCCAAACAGTCAACAAAACACAAACCCTGAAGGAAAACCTTTTCCATACACCCAGGCTATGCATTGAAGAGTTTTCCACTGTATACATTTTTATCCAGATGAAGGTATTTTTATATTTTGACAATAGGAAACAGTGACCAATTTTCAGAGTAATCAAATCTGGAACAAAGGAACCATCTCCTTTTTGCCACCACCACCCTGTTGCAATTAAGACAACCATGGGGGAACACACGACTTTTTACTGTTGAAACCAACATAGCATTGAAATCCAGGCTTATACGCAGACTTCGATTCCTAGAGAACTAAATTTGGCTTTAGTGTGACGGGATTTGATTAAGCACTTAGTATAGTCTTTTGAACACAGAAATCCTGTTTCACTTAAAGCTAGTGGACCCGTGAACAACTTTGTCAGGTTCACGTCCTGTAACGGTTGACACACACACACACACACACACACACACACACACCATTTCTATGAGAGATTGATGAACTTTGTTTAAAATTTAAAAAAAAAGGAACATGTTCTGTAAACAAGTCGCTAAATACAGAATTGTATAATAATTCTGGGTGTCTTGCTGCTTTGTTCTGGAGCTAGGAGTTCTGGGCTTGGAGAAGTTAGTTATCCTAACTGAGGTGGGGGTAACTGTTCAACTCCCTGGAAGGACATATGGAAAAACTGGGGCAAACTGGAGGTCAGATCTGGCCCTCAGAGATGTTTCCCAGAATGGTATTTTTTGAAACTAGTTTTTAAGGTACAATGGCTCACACCTATAATCCTAGTGCTTTGGGTAGCTGAGATGGGAGGATTGCTTGAGCCCAGGAATTTGAGGCTGCAGTGAGCTATGACTGCCACTGCATTCCAGCACAGACAACAGAGAGAGACTCTGTCTCTAAAAAAAGAAAAGACAAAATTAAGCCAATGTCTAAATTGCCAACATTGGCTGAGCATGTTGGCAAATATCTGTAATCCCAGCAGTGGCTCATATCTGTAATCCCAGCAGTTTAGGAGGCTGAGGTGGGAGGATCACTTGAGGCCAGGAGTTTCAGACCACCCTGAGCAACACCGTGAGACCCTCCTCTCTAAAAAAATCAATTGCCGGCCGGGCGCGGTGGCTCAAGCCTGTAATCCCAGCACTTTGGGAGGCCGAGGGGGTGGATCACGAGGTTAAGAGATGGAGACCATCCTGGTCAACATGGTGAAACCCCGTCTCTACTACAGATACAAAAAATTAGCTGGGCATGGCGGCGCGTGCCTGTAATCCCAGCTACTCGGGAGGCTGAGGCAGGAGAATTGCCTGAACCCAGGAGGCGGAGGTTGCGGTGAGCCGAGATCGCGCCATTGCACTCCAGCCTGGGTGACAAGAGCGAAACTCCGTCTCAAAAAAAAAAAAAAAAATCAATTGCCAACATTAAAACGTGGGGGCATGTCCCATAAAAAGCATGATTACCAGCTTCTCTGGAAAAGAGTTACCATCTCTGCCACACTGGGCCCACCTTCCAGTGTGACAACAGCCAGATGAGGGCTCGCCGCCTTTAAACAGGGCACAAGCCCATGATTTGCTTCAGCCCTCAGCTGTCCCACCTGCCTGGGCCCTGTGTGCATCTGGGTTGGCAAGTGTCCCTTGTGGACCAGCCTGCAGCAGGGTGGAAGCTGGTCAGACTCCAGGGCTTGATATAAGGAGTCAGAATTGCACCATACCCCTAAACCAGAGCGTGAACCAGTTTGCAAGCTGCACCCACCTCTGTACAGTGTGTGAATGATTAGTGCCCCCAGCCCCGATGGGAAAATGCCAAGAGGGGCTTCCTGTTGACCACCGTAGCATCACCCCTTTCCTAGGTGTATAACTAGGGCCTCAGTTTCCTCATCTGCAAAATGGGGGTATCACAGCAGCCAGCTCAGAAAGTCATTGTGAAGAATATACGTGCATATGCATAAAACTGTGTGGCAGTAAGAACTCAATAACTAAATACAAAAATTAGCTGAGCGTGGTAGTGGGCGCCTGTAGTCCCAGCTACTTAGGAGGTTGAGGCACGAGAATTGCTTAAACCCAGAAGGTAGAGGCTGTAGTGAGCCAAGCTTGAGCCACTGCATTCCACCCTGGGTGGCAGAGTGAGACTATTAAGAAAAACTCGGGTCCGGGTGCGGTAGCTCACACCTGCAATCCCAGCAGTTTGTGGGGCCAAGGCAGGTAGATCACGAAGTCAGGAGTTCGAGATCAGCCTGACCAACATGGTGAAACCCCATCTCTACTAAAAATACAAAAATTAGCCGAGTGTGGTGGCGCATGCCTGTAATTCCAGCTACTCAGGAGGCTGAGGCAGGAGAATCACTTGAACCTGGGAGGTGGAGGTTGCAGTGAGCCAAGATGGTGCCATTGCACTTCAGCATGAGCAACAGAGCAACAGAGCAAGACTCTGTTTCAAAAAAAAAGAAAAAAGAAAACCTCAGTAACTATTAGTTATTGTTATTGTAAGTAGGGGGTAGGTTCTTCCAGCCCATGATAGTGAGTCTGTTTGTACCTTGGGATCAGGCTGCAGGAGGGGATTTTGTGACCTATGTCAGGAGAGTCCCTGAAGTAGCACTAAACATTACTCACCCGTGAGCCCAGCCATGTGGCTGTCCCAAGACAGCGTTTTTCCCTTTGTCTGGAAACTTCCAATTGCCCCAGTTTTTCCATATGTCCTTCCAGGGAGAGTTGAACAGTTACCCCCACCTCAGTTAGGATAACTAACTGCTCCAAGCCCAGAAGGACAGCCCGCTGGGATGCCTGGCACCCCATCACGGAGTGGTGGGGGTGGGGGGCAGCAGGTCAGGGCCAGGCCCCCATCAGCCCTGGTGCTCCTGAGAAGCTCGTTTTGGGTGACATTTCATGCAGATGGATGGCCTATCCTCAGAGCTGGGGAGGAACATGGGAGTCAAGAGCCAGATGGCAGGGTTTCAAAACTCTGGCTCCACCTCTTAGAGCTGTGTGACCTTGGGCAAAGGCCTCAGTTTCCCAGCCATGAAGTGGAGACCACAGTAATGGCATCTTGCTCATAAGGTGGTTGTAAAAATTCAAATTAAGTAAAACCAAAGACTGCCCTTTCGGACCCTTACTGGTTCACAGCTCCTGAGAATGTCAGAAGTCAGAAACCGCCAGGGTGCGGCCCCCTGTGGGAGCAGGCAGGCAGGAGTGGAGTCTGGCACCGCGCAAGCCACCCAAGAACCCGAGGGAATAGGTGCCTGTGGGCCTCAGAGACTGAAGCGTGGTCTGGGTCATCAGCTTTGGCGTGGACAGGGTGTCTGCCACCACTGCCCTGGCATGAAACATGCAGCAACAGTGCAGCAAAGATGTGGAATTCTGCACCGGGGGCTGCGGGAAAGTACAGGGGCTGGAGAGCAATGAGAAGGCCAGGATAGCCTCCAGGAGGAGGCAGGTTTGGATTGGGGCACAGAGGAGAGTGGAGAGCCCAGCTAGGAGCCACCGGGCAACAGTTCATCCAGCTACTCAGTATTTATTGAGTACCTACTGTCTTCTCAGTGCTATAAGCATTTATTGAGTACCTACTGTGTGCTCAGAGCTTGGATGGAGGAAACACAGGAGGCCATGAGGGCACAAGTAGTGGGGTCCAGGAAGGCTTCCTAGAGGAGGGGGCATCCCAGCTGATGCTTGAAAGAGTTAGAAAGGAGAAGTAGAGGAGGAGTACAGAAGGAACCACAGGCAAGAGGTGGGACCGGGATAAGAACCTGGGAGAAAGAAGCTCAAAGGAGGCTGGAAGTTGAGGTAGGGCGGCAGGGAGGAAGAGGGATGAGATCAGATTGTGAAGCACCTTGGGGCATGGCAGGAAATATGCCTTTCTCCTGAGGGCACTGGGGAGCCATGGAGGGTGTGAGGCAGGGGGTTGCTGTCAGTCTAGCCTTTGAGGAGGTTAGGAGGTCACATCTGCCTGGGGAGAAGGCAGATTACCGAGGAGCACAGGCCCTGAGCCTCAGCCTCCATGCCTTCCTCCCTCTCCTAGTTTAGCTCCTCCCACCAGCCAGGCAGCCCCACATCCCATCACCTCCTAGAGAATGCACAAAACCAAGCCCTCCCTAGCTGACTGGCCCTTGATGTGGTCATTCTAAAGCCCTAGCTCCCCACAGCCAAGGCTCCAGGTTGTGCCGCTGTGGAAACCAGACTGCCTTTGCAAGTACCTGGGACACTGAGTGCACTCCCAATCCCAAGAGCAGGGGCCCTGGGGCAGGGAAGGCCACCCAGAGAGGCCAACCAGGTGACTTTAGCAATGGTGACTCCTCACTCCAGGTCTGTTTCCCTACCTGCACACAATGAGAGGGAGAAACAGTTGCGCTCTTGGCTGATCCATGACCTTCTCCAGCCTCCTAGGGTATAGTTGTGAAAGCACAGGCTTTGAACTTAGCCTGGCCTGGGTTTGAATCTCCACTATCAGGCAATCCTAGAGCCATTCCATGAAACTCAGTTTCCTTAACTGGGAAATGGATTTGATCATAGCATCCCTTTTACCAGTTGTCTATTACTGCATAACAAATGATGCCAAGATCGAGCGGCTTAAAACAGTAAGCACTGATCTCTCACAGTCTCTCATAATCTTCATGGGATAGGAATTTGGGGATTGTGTAACTGGATGATTCTGGCTGGTAGGTCTTTCAGGAGGTTACAGTTAAGCCATCACCCAAGGCTGCAGTCATCTGAAGGCTTTTCTGGGACTGGAGGATCTGCTTCCAAAATGGCACACTCCCATGGCCCCCAAGCTGGCTGTGGGCTTCAGTTCTCCAGGTAGGCCTCTCCACAGGGCTGCTTGAGTGTCCTCACAACACGACGGCTGACTTCCCCACAGTAGCCACAGCTACTGTCTTCTGTGACCTAGATTTGGAGGCCCCATTGTTGCATCCAAAGTTGACCACATGGGCCCACCATGACTCAGTGTGGGAAGGAACCATACCAGGCTGTGGATACCAGGAAGCAGGGTCACCTGGGCCCCATCTTAGAGGCTGCCACCACACTACCTTATTTCTTCAGCTATGGCCCTTCAATCCCTCTCTCAGCTCCCCTGATTCTTCCCTCCTTGACTACAGCTGATTGGATGAGAGTTGGTCAGACGCAAGCTGAGCCAATCAGGGTCCTGTGAACTAAGTTCTGTAAGTGCTAAACTTGAGTGGATGGCTGAGTGACCCTTCTACTCAAAATGGAGTTTCCTGGGCTCTGCACAAACCTGAGCCAGGGCCCAGGAATCTGCATTTTTTAAGAAGTGCTCCAGCTGATTCGGCCACAAACTAAAGGTTAAGCCCACTGACTGTCATAGGTCTCAACAAATGGGAGGGACTTCTCATCCAGTAGGTTTTCTTTGGCCCCCTGGGTGTGCTGGCCCCTAGGACGGACACTGGCAAACAGAAGAGAATGACAGAATAGGAGCACAGAACAGAGATTCGCTGGGTGTCTTACAGTCTGGAACTGTTAGGTTGAAAGAAATTATAACCCACTTAACTATGCAAATGTTTATTGGGAGGATCCTGGGAGATCCTGGAAAACCCAAAAACAGGAAGTTCAGCCAGGCTTCATGTG